GATGGAAAGTTATAATTCGTCTAAATGCATTACAAAATGAGAGCAATCAAGTAAAGGACATATCATATAAATAAGAACTCTATTCGCATTAAAAGTAAATCTCTACCAATATGTTTCCATCACTTTTCCAACCGACGTTCTTCACGGTAACTGCCACATGCATATCACAATTTGCGCCCACGAGGGTGCATGAATAAAGAAGAAAACGACGAGCCTAAACTCTCTGTTCAACTCACAATTGAGCTCATATATTCACTTTTGGACAAATACCACATCACATCTATGACTTTTGCCATGCATGCCTCAAATCTCTATAAATCTAAGCGTGTGGCCCATCATCTCCTTACCTATATGAATGGCATCATCTGATCACGAACAAATTCTTTTATCTTATTTTGTTTCTTTTTAGGGTTTTTTAATTTATTTGTATATCCCCAAATTTATGCTATATGCAGAATTACCTCCGAATTTACTAATTTACTCCTACAATTTCCTATAATAGTTCTTGTGCACGTGGTTAAATATTAAAAAAAAAAATTGTTTATTTTCTTACTATAAAATAAGTCAAATTCATTTTAAGATAAAATATATAAACGTGAATTATTACATTTGCCATAAATTTTATTTAAACATTTTTAAAGAAATTTTATGAAATAGATTTGTGTATAAAACTGGGATCAATATACTTTTATATACTTGCATACACAACATTTATTTTTTTAATTATATCAAACTTCATGTAACATATTTGTTTATCGGATCAAATCATCGAGCTCCAATTTGTTTATCTTAGTCATTAAATGTAGTGTTAAATTTGGAAAAGAATACAATAATATATTGTTGATGTGGTAATAAAAATATAACAAAATACTTAATATTAAGATGGTTTGTATAAGCTCGGCACAGAGCACATACTTTTCACAAGACTACAAGAAATCTTAATTATTGATAGACTTAAAATAAAAAAAAATACTAAAGATTAATGATGATTCCAATATAATTTTATATGACAAAATCATTCACATAAGCATACTAAGAAATTTGCACCGAAAATCAAAGATTCCTAATTTTACTCAAAAATTTAAGTTTTACTATAAAATATTCAAAAAAATATTATTATTTATTCCTTCTTTTTTTATATTTAGTTGAGCCGATATCAACCATTCTCCACTTTTATCTTTTTTCTAGGCTATTTTATAATAGTATCTTCATCGCCGACATCATATTGTGATATCAAGTTGGTATATAATAGCAAGCAAAAGACAATACAAGAGCCTAGAAATATATTAGGATATACTTGGATCAATCAAATTATATTATTATTCATAACTGATATGCATCAGAGACAATATGTATTGACAATCTTAAACTACAAAACAGATTGTATGGACCCTCTAACATAACTTTTTTAATGCAAGCAACCCTCAAGATTAATTTTAAAAATCTCTTGGAGTCAGGAATAAACAACTAACAAGTTTACAGTGGAAGCTAGGGGAACATAGTACATTCTTAAAAATTATTAATCTTTGCTTAATTTGTTTATAATGATAGGATCTCATTATTAACTAACTACAAGGCCTAGTGCATTATTATTATTATTGTGCATTAAAGGCAGGCAGAGGACCCAGGTGAGTCCTCTGTTAGAGCCCTAATGCCATTAGGAAAGAACCCTAGAGGGGGGTGAATAGAGTTTATGCTAATCTAATCCAATTTAATACCAATTAAAAACTTATTAACAAGTTATCCTAGCAAATAAGATATGCAATGAACTATTAGCAATGATAAGCAATATAAATAAGTGTAAACAAAATAATGGACAATATAAACAAAGAGGCAATGGCTAAAAATATGAACAAAAAGAGTTCGTCAATGCAAACTCAAACAAGCAATATGATCACGGAGTTCGGACCTTCCGTCCTACATCTTCGCTCCCCACTCCAGGGGAGAAATCCACTATCACACCGGGTTTTTAACGCTCCCCCAAAAACGTTTACACCTCACACTCGGTTTTCTAGCTCACCGAAAACTTTACAATCCATACTCTTGCAATCACACTCTATACCTTGTAAGTGTTAGTCTCTAGCCCGTATCTCCCTCAAGTGCTCGAATTTACAACCTCTTCCTAGGCTTTACTACCGATGCTACTCCTCTTGGGACGATCTCGTCTCTCACCATACACTCCTCTCGGTGTACAAGTGTATTACAAAGTGTATCCTCACAATTAGGCTCTCTACAACAAATGGTTATTATCTAAAATGGATGAGAACACAAATAAGTTCACGCTCTAAGTTACAAACCCACAACCCCAAATTATACTATGTATGAAATACTATAAGCTTAATGTGGGTGTGTGTAATAAAGAAATAAATCTAAACAAATCTAAACTCAATTAAAATCTAGCTTTAATTAAACGATTAACAAACAAATAAATATAAAGCTAGAAAGAGTTTAGGAAAATATCTTTATAGATCAAGAGAGAGAGGGAGATGAGTTGAATGCCCAAATATCAAATATTATCTCCTCAAGCCATTGTGAAAATTTCTTCACAAACTAAACTCTTAAACACACTTTTAAACCCTTAAACAAACTTTGTAAAACTCTTTAAAACTTTTCTCTTGTTGGGAAACAGAGCTGGGTATGAGGGGGTATATATAGGGAACCCCAAAGATCAAGAAAACCCAGCAAAAAAACCAAAAAACTAAAACATGACAAAGTCTGAAAATATAGCCGTTGGAGGCTATCAGTCGACTGACGGGTTCCGTCAGTCGACTGATGAGATGACCGTTATAAAATATAGCCGTTGGAGGCTATCAGTCGACTGACGGGTTCCGTCAGTCGACTGATGAGATGACCGTTATAGGTCAATCTCAGCTCATCAGTCGAGTCGACTGACGGGTTCCGTCAGTCGACTGATGAGATGACCGTTATAGGTCAATCTCAGCTCATCAGTCGACTAAAACTTTCTCATCTATCAACCGATAAACTCATCAGTTGACTGATAGATCATCAGTCGTAAAAATAGAAATATTTGATAATTCCAGATGATTTCTTCAGTCGACTGATCCTAAGATTGTTAAGTCCACAAATAAATAACTCAATATTTTCACAAAAATACATGTTTTGCAAACTTTCAAAATAATAAACATGATTTCATTGAACTAAATAAACTGATATTGATAAAATCATATATAAGCATATAAACATGAAACAAGTATGTATTTTCTAATTATATTCATTTATTTCATATCTATAGGTAAACTTGAAAACTCCAAAATGAAAACTTGTGTGTGTGTGTGTGTGTATAAAATCAAAACTAGTATGTGTGTATGTGATTGAGCTTGAAGTACTAAACACACATAATATAAAAACCCAAACTAAATATACCCAAGCTCTTGATTGGTCTTCAATATGCTCGTCTTGGATGCAGATGAAGCTTGATCTTGGATCTTGACTTGAATTGCATTTCTTCATGCCGATATTCCTTTCATCCTCCAAAGGATATGATCGTGAAAGCTCCATTCCATCCATCATCTAACTTATTGTTTGTCTATAATAATTAAGAAAACACAAACATTAGACAAACAATATTAGTTTTAAATTGTTTATTAAAACATCATCAAAATAAAAAACCCAACAATCTCCCCCTTTTGGATGATGACAAATAATTTACAAAAAGAGATATGCATGATACGAAATGAATATATAAATTATGATAATCATGCATGAAAACAAACAAGATATACTCATAATATTTCTCCCACTTTGACAACATCAAAAAGAGAAAAAAGATAAGAGAGCGAAGGCTCCCCCTACCTATAAGCACGGTGAGTATAAAAACAATAAAAGAAATATGGATGACTTGTTTGTTGGAAATTTGCAGTAAACAGACAATGAAAGAAAAATTAACTTGTATTCCTCTCAAAATCAATTACAATTTGGATTCCGATTACATAAGAGAGAGAATGAATTTGATTCTCCCCTTTGTTTAAAACTGGGTTCTTCTTGGTAGCGGTGGAGTGCCTCCTTATTTGATTCTCCCCTTTGTTTAAAACTGGGTTCTTCTTGGTAGCGGTGGAGTGCCTCCTTCGATTGATTGCGTCGAACTTGCTCTCCGTTGACGATCCGACCGTCCTATCTCACAAGACCGATTGAATTGCTTGATGACTTCGGTTTCGAACTCTTGACGAGTGTAAAGAACTCAGAACGAGTTGAAAACTCTGATAAGAGTTGTTGAAAACTCTGATAAGAGTTGTTGAAAACCGATTGTCTGGTTTGATGTGATTAATTTTGGTTGCAAACTTAATCACGAACTCTTAAATGAGTTTCAAAACTCAGAGCGAGTTGAAACTCCGTAAAAGAGTTGTTGGAACCGAAGATTCGGTTAATTGCCAAGTGGATTATGCCGTTGATGAAGGGATCTTCTGGGATTTGATTAACTGATCGTTGATAAGTTCTTTGATCTTCAAAAGATCTCATTCTTCGTGCTGTTGACCTGCTAAGATTTGTTGACCTTGGGTGGTTTTGATGCCAGCTCACCTCAACCTTATGCGGTTTTA